CACCCCCATCTCCTTTCTCCCCTGCTTCTCACCGTCTGACGGCCCTCCCCCCCCCCTCCGGGACTCCTGGCCCATCCACCCCCCCCGCTCCCTGTCCTCTGACTGCCCCCAGAAACCCCACCCCTGACTGTCCACCACCACCCCATCCAATCCCTCCTCTCATTCCTGACTGCCCCCCACCCCCGGGACCCCTGCCCCATCCAACCCCCCTTCTCCCTGACTGCCCCGCAGGACCCCTGCACCCATTCAACCCCCCTGTTCCCCGCACTCTGACCGCCCCGACCCCTATCCACACCCTCGGCCCCGACCACTCCCCGAATTCCCCTGCCCCCTTACTGCGCTGCCTGGAGCGCCGGTGGCTGGCGGCGCTACAGCCGCGCCGCCCGGCTGGAGCCAGCCACGCCGTCGCCACCATGCAGCACAGAGCACCGGGTCAGGCCAGGTTCTGCAGCTGCGCTGCCCGGCTGCCCAGAGCCTTCTACAAGGCACCCCTGGGGGACTGAGGTTCCTCTCTGGGAAGTGAAGATCTTTTAATGTCTTTTAATCTTTTAAAACAAAAGATGTGCCGGCAGCACAGTGCCCTGAGGCTGCGGTGGAGGGGGGCCCAGTGGGGCAGGGGCCGAGCCTCCCGGCCCAGGAGCTCGGCAAGAGGGTCCTGCGGGCCATAGTTTGCCCATGTCTGGTATAGAGGATGAACAATCCCTTCTGTCTCTGGGTGGTGCAAGGATCAGTCCTGCATCTTTCATAGACTGTTTTAGAGCACTGGTAGTTCCCGGTACTATCAATGCTGGCCCCTGGTCCCTGTGAGCTCCAGATGCACCCACACCAGGGAGAAGAGTCTCATTTAATACCAAGGGGAGCGGAGAAGCAGACTTTTTTTTTTTTTTTTAAAAAGAGGACTTATGAGGCAATTTATCCCTGTTTTTATGGGGTTGTTCACCGTTACCCTCCTCATACCTTTGTTTAATTGAATCTTTGCACTTGTATGGGATTTTATTACACACACACTTGGCTAAAGTAAAGTTTGCATAAAGAGCAGATGCTTAGCAGTTGTGGAAAGGCTTTGAAAGATGGCCAGCTGGGTTGGAAATACTGGACTTGGAATGTGGCTTAATTGGAAACACTGGATCTGGAATGCGGCTGAGAAGATAAGAGGAAAGTCTGAAGAAAAGGCCCCAATTAGCAAGGATGGTTCTAAGCAATTTTAGCAGAGGAAAGGATTCAAGAAGTAGTGGCTATAGTCACGTAGGTTCAGTTTATTCAAGTATAAAAGAATGGTCTCTTAAGAGTGTTTGTGGCTAGTGCCTGTGTAGTAGTAGGATTTTATGTTTGTATTTTGTATAATTTAGAATGAAGGATAAATAATAATAATGTAGCATGCATTAAATGTATTGGTGTATGATTTGACCATATCCTGCCAGCCACCCTTTCTGAAAGCAGAAAGGAATGGCCTAATGGGCCATTAGTAAAGATACATCAGCCAAAATCTGTGTCTGAAGCTGATTTTAAGGCAGTGACAGACCTTTAGGGTCACCACTTTGTTGTAGGTTTAGCATTTTAAAGTAAGTAAAAGAATGCAATGATTATTTTCTCCTGCATTGCAATTTGATGTTTTGGTTCAAATGCTATGTGTAAATCAATCCTGTTTGGTGTGTGAATGAGGAATGTGTGTGTTAGAAGATAAGCGTGAAGGCCATCACTGGACCAGATGGTCTAGGGAGGAACCGAGGACAGATGTATGGGTGCCAAAAGATTGCAACACGCCCCTATTGAAATGTCAGAGGAGGACAGATTGACGACTCTAAAGATGAGAAAGGCATCTATCAATGGGGACAATATAGCTGTGATCAGAACCAGCCTGGGATAACTCCCTGAGAGACTTAATGAAAGAACAAGATAAAGGATGAGAAGAACCATTTAAGAAAACAAGCACTCAAACGACAATTGATTACAGCATGATGGTGCAAAACTCATTGGTCCCAATGAAGGAAAATCACTATATAAACAGGGTGCCTTCCATGAAACTTTGGGTTCGTCCTGGCAAGACTTCCCTGGAGCATCGTGTCATGAACGACAGAACCCAGCTCCTACCTACCCGTGATCAACCTAGCTGGCCAGTAGATTGATCCAGACTCTGGACTGGTAACTATAACATTGACTGGAGGGACGCTGAGTGTGAGTGTGTGCATATGCTAATTGTTGTATTTCCAATAAATGCAGTGTGTTGCCTTTTCCCCTGAAAAAGATCCTGTTTGCTTCTTATAAGCATAACATGAGCCTGTCCAGTTGGAGCCAGCCAACATGGGTTTGCGCATCCTGGGGCTAGCCCTGTTGTAAGTATCTGATCAATACATATAACAGCATGTTACTGTATAGATGTGATAATTGCTTAGGCATTCAGGGCCCATTTGGAACAGCTATATAAATATAATTTGACCTCTGGATTTAATAAAGGAATTTATGGTTAAATTGCTGTTGTGGTGGTATACTGTATTAATAAATAAATTACAACAACAACTCTACCGCTTGCTGGAGGATTTCGATCTAGAGGGCACCAGTGTCAGAGAGGCACTACACAAAGGCTCAAGTCAGTGAGAAGGGGAGCGGGAGAGCCCAGGACCATATTGGGGCCCCATGACAACTTCATTACATGCTTATGGAGCCTAAACTCCAGCGACTGCCTGGTAGAAGGGAAAAAAGGAATGGCGGATGTCACATTTTGAAGGAACATATGATTCCCCAAGGTAAGTACGTACCAGCTCTCTTGGGAGTTGCTAACCAGGAAGACCCAGGAACAGGCAGACAAGACCTGAAGCCTGGAATCTGGGGCATACTGGGTGCCCTGAACAATAAGGAACAAGGGGGGAGTGAACCCCTGAACTAGCTAACTAACAGCTAACTAGCTAAAGATAAAACTGTTTACACACTATTTACAAAGTTCAAGTGGGAGCGCTAGAAAGGCTACTGACACAGAACATGGTCTGTTCCAGAAAGGAACTGGAGAGGCGGTCGCTCTGTGAGACCCTTTATGCCCTTGGTTCAGAGTATGAGGAGGAGTAGGGTACAGGCACAGACCAATGAACACTGCTGTAGTAAGATGAGGCCCTGAAACATAAACCCTTGCTATCAGAGGCCTGAACTAAAGTAATGGTCAAGACTTTGCTAACATAAAGCAAAGTTAAGCTGTGAGCCAGAGGCAGGCCCTGCTCACAGAAGTTGGCAAGAAGGCAGCTGCTAATTGCACGTATACACATATCTAAAAGGTATCAAGTACTAATAGGATGAACATGTGCCAGGATGGCACCAGAACATTCTGGTACGAACACATTCCACAGAGATAATGAGGAACAGGCTGGCCCATCCTAAAGACAGGGTCAAATATAATTGATAAGAGTTGTTTGTTCGAATCAACATGTACCAGGAGAGAGGCAGCACCCCAACACACAGAGGGGTTGTACCTCAATGCATCAGGAGTGATGTGTAACTTGTTTGTACCTGTGTATAAGTATGCATCCCTGAGTGGATGTCTTTGTCTAGCCTAGGGGGCAGTGGACAGTCCCGCCACTGACTGAGCTGGTCCATTGTCAGGGGGCACATATTCATAGTATGTCCTGTAGAATCTGTGGGTAACTATTACTGTGCTTCCTTTGACAATAAACCTGGCTGGGTGCCTTTGTGCCTTATCGGAGACTGTGGTCATTGGGGGTTCTCTCGGCGTCTGCTGTGTCAGCTATCTGCGCAGAGCCCGGGCAGCACACAGAGGGAACACATTCACTCAGCCAACTTATCAACATTGGATAGAGCAGAGCACCACGCTGGTGATGTCTTACAACAACTGCTATGGAAGAGTTTTCCAGTCTCAAGTGCATGTGCAACCACAGTGAGTACCCATAGGGACCAGCATTTGAAGAAGAATGTAGAATTTCCTCGATTTCTAAAGTTTAACTTTCATTTAAGAAAAAACTAAAACTGTATAATTCTTTAAAAAGGAATTTCCCCAAAATATTACAGTTATACCCTATTAACCTCTTCTCCAAATAGTTGTTTAAAAACTTGATATTATAATAAATCTCTCACTAAGCAGCAATTCAATATATGTAACCAAAACATGAAAAACACCACTGAAGTTTAACTTCTCAAACCTGGGTGCCTACTGTTTGGCTTCTAAATCCACAATAAAAAGTGTTTCAATTTTCAAAAGGTGCCAAGCACCCAAAGATTATACTGACTCTTAAATATCCAAGTCTGAAAATGCTGGCCTTACTATTTATATAGCATTTTAATTCTCTCACTCTCCCCCAGGTGCTGCATGAACAAATCAATTCTCACAACCTTCACCCCTATGAAGTTGGTACGTATAAGACATTTTACAACAACGGAAGGAAGCAAAGAGGTAAAATGATTTATTTGACTCCTTAGAGTGAGTGACTTGCAGAGCTGCAATTAGAACTCGGGTATTCCTGGTTTTCAGACTTGTTCTTAGACCACACTAGAAAAATGCTACCTCTTAATCGAGATCAGTCAAAAAAATTGGATTTCAGTATTTAAGTATGCAAGAAAAAAAAAAAAATCACCCTCTTACAAATCAGAAAACTTACAGATTATGTTCAATAAATGGCAACATATTTTACCATTACAAAAGTGGTTTCTATGTACTTTTTGACCTTATTTATAAGGATGGTATATAGAATGCATTACACATGTGTACATTAATATTTCCCTCCAGTATAGTGCACATAATGTACAGATACTGACTGAATGCCATTTAACATATCTGAATTTTTACTTAAATGAGAAGATAACATGCTCTTTTGGTGCACATTAGTTTTTTTTTTTTTTTTTTTTAAATAGCAGTTCATTCTCTTTAGTAATTTGTGGTATGATAAAAATCATTTTCACATGAGCACAAAGCCAGATTGTCACTAAACTTTATAATAAATGGTACAGAAAAGTGACAAGAAGGTCAGAAGTGACACTGGATCCTTAAGAAACAACCTTACCATACAAGTCATCTTCAGCACTGGATTCAACTAAAGAGATCTGAGGCTGGGCTTTCACCTCCAGGTTTCTGCTCAGCCAGCTAGTCTGTTCCAGGGAGGAACCAGCAACATTCCCCACAGCTTCCAAGATTTTTTGGGTCACCTCCTGAAAAGTAATCAATGCAACACTGTATCAGGTGAAAGCTATTGGGATCTGGCCAGCCCAAGGATGCTTTTGTTTTATTTGGAAACTGGCACAGTGTTTTGTACCTGGTACCATATCTGTAGGTATATGGAGGTGAGTAACAACAAACAGAGCAGAGAAACATTTATCAGCACTCTGCAGGTAGTAAAGTGTCACTCATTTCATTTGGTAGTAGGCATGAACAATGGAAAAAGAAAGAAAAGCTTTGGGTTAGAGTAGATTCACGTACAGGTCTTAATCATACCTTTACATGGAAAGGTCATTATGTACATGTGTATGCATGCACACACATATCTGGGCTAAAACAGTAATATAAAAGAAAATTCATCTATGATAGGTAAAAATACCTAACACTATAATTAATCTACTCTTGATGACTATCCTTATAATCACAACAGGAAGGGGGACTTTTTCCCTTTTGACAAACATTCTCTTCAAGTGTGGCATAAAAGCTAAGCACTGGAGAGAGAATAGCAGAGTCAAAGATTAAAAAAGGGAGAAACAAGCAACCTATTTCAGTTTTTCACTTCCTGTGTAGATTGGCACACACTGAGCACACACAAGACCAAGTCTGTTTAGAATGTCTTCATTCTTTTCACTTCCTCATTTGCTTTCTGGGCGTTTTAAATTTTAATGATTTACATTAGCAGTTTAGTAGAATCTAGGTCACAGAAGGCATGGGTCTTGTTGCAGACTCTGCTGTATTTTCAATTTGATTGGGAATCCTATTGCTACCATTACTCCCTCTGACAAGTTTCTTTTTTCTAGCTTGATCCAGGCTAGATGATGAGTTTATTCTTTATGGATCTTATCTACCACTGCTTCTGTGGCCATCAGGATAAGAGTGCACAACCGGAGCATCCAATAGGAATACAATAGTATTGTTGTTAATGAGATAATCAGGGTCCACACACCCCAATGGTGAACAGGAGGTTTGAATCCCAAAATGTCTCTCACAACATTTTCCCTCATATACTTTGACGGGCATCCTTTTTAGGTCACAAATTTGAAACATATTAGAGGATTCATTCTTACGATAACTGATAAATTCACAGGTTTCAACTCACTGCGTATTTCCCTGATTGTTCAGAGTATGGACTCTTACCTGGTTCTCCAGATTTCCAGTCTTTTACCTGACAAGTTACTATGTTTTAAGAAAGAGTTTTTGTCCCCTGAGGTTTCTTAACTTTGTCTCCTTGGAGGGCCACAGAATCCAGCTGATCAAGATATTTTTCAGTTCTAGTGGAGTAATCATCCAGTCGGTTCAAATGAAGATTGCAAAGTATCCATTATACTGCATTAATAAGCAGTCATCTCTCAAAGACTTGTATGTTCTGAATTTGTTCTTCAGATTTCCAAAAAAATTGCATCAGTACCCTCTATTGTTCTTTAGGCTCTGAACTGTACGGTCTGAAAACCTGTCTGCTTTTTCCTTTCCCTTCAGCTACAGGGCTTCCATGTGGTATTAAATTAGATGGGGATGTTGGTTACTTTTAACTGAGTGATTTAAAAGTGTCGTTTTATTTTTTGGGAATTCATCTGGCCATATTTCAGTCTTCCCATTGTAGGGTTGGGCCAAGCCCTACTCCCAGCCTCATGTTTGAGCAGCAGAGCTATTCACTGCAGGATGGAGACTCTGGTTCGGAAACTTCAGGTTTCCCTTCCAAGGCTGCCAGAAAAATCAGATCATTTCTTGATAATGCTGTAAGAAGCTAGGCATTCACTAGACAATTATCTTGCTGGCCAGTTTATGAAGCAAAACTGGAGGAAGTCACTCTACCATATCTGCTGGGCAGCACATCTCTACCATATCTGCTGGGCAGCACAAGCACCACAATCACAGCTATCAGAAGGTTCACTTTTCAACATTTCATCTCAAATTCAGAGCCAAAGATGATTGTAACAAGTCTGTGGTGCTTCAGCTATCTTGGCAAAACAGTAGGAGAAACAGTAGGAGAAAAGAATCCGGCTCTAATCCTCATCTTTTTTCCATAATAGGTGAATGGATAAACAGTTGTTGAGATTGCCAAAGCCAACTAGGGGACATAGCTATACAGCTCCCGTTGACTTCAATGGGAATAGTGCACCTAATTCTCCTACTTGGTTTTGAAAATTTCAATGATAATGCAAATGAAGGGATGTGGTGACATCATATTTGTGTTATGAATTTAAATCTAAAGGATGACATCACAAGAGACACTCAATCTGAATACAGCTTTGGCCAATCAGCATCCTGAGCCATGTTAGAACTTTATCAAAAATATACAAGATAATTTGTTAGCTGGAAGATTATATTTTATGCATTCTTACACACTTACTTACTGGCTTGCACCATGCCCAAACTTTCTCAGAGTATGCGGATGTTCAGACATGGAGTTGGTTTGGGCTAATCTCGGTTTAGAACGAAGAGTGCGGTGCCAGATTTGTGAACTAAAAGTGTATGTATACAGTACCTGCAGGTCTTTTTGATCCTTTTTATTTTCCAGGTTAGGAGTTCTGGTCACAAAGTCATTCAGAGTACTGTAGGAAAAAGAATTCATTCCAAGTTAGTAATATGGATAGTTTTACTCAATCTATCAAATCAAACCAAACCACCTTGTTTTGTGCTATACCTCAGAAGCAGGAAATATCCAGGGGGAGCCAAGTTCAATTGCACAGATTCCTTCAGCACTCCTAACAATGACTGAAAGTTCTCCTGCAGGGCTGAGACAGGAAGTCTGCCAAAAACAACATGCAAGTCTGATGTCAAACAATACATCAGCCATACACACAGATAGTGCTGGCTCTAGGAGCTTCCCACCAACTTTAGTCTTCTAGTTCTCCCCAAGTCTAATTAACTACTATCCATAGTATTTGTGTCTAAGTACCATGATATCCTGTCAATGCACGATGACATTTATATTATCCTATCATTCTATTAGTGTGTTGATGTATCGAAGTCAAAACAGTACACAGAATTGACTTGGGTTGTCCTGCAAACTAAAGCTAGGCTTGGAGCATATGGAATATGCCAGTGCTGTGAAAGAAGAAGAGGGTCTCCATGAATGATATAATGAGGAGAAGGCTTTGCAGACTAAGATCCTAAGGTGTTCCATGCATACACCACAATGTATGCTAAGAAGAGTTTTGATCACCCCCATGCTGTCTAACATGATGAATGCAGAGTATAAATTGGAAACACCAGGAGCCCTCCCTAAGAAAGCCTGGAAGGGAGATTAAGGAGGAGAAGTATCCATCCTTCATACACTTTTCCAGCAGCTGGGAACAGTGTTAGAGCTGGAGAAAGGTAATACAAAAATTTCAGCATAATGTCCTGACAACAGTTTGAGAAGGTTACAGCATGCTGTTGTGTCTGTACATGATGACATTGTGTCACTATGATACAAACACCAATACATCAATGCAATCACAGAACACCACGCCACACAGTAATCTTATGTCTGTCGTTTGACAATGTAGTGGTTGTCCAGTTCTACTTCATTAAGCACTGATAATGTAGCGGTTAAGGTTTCCTGTGCCAAGCAGCTATGAAGGTCAAAGTAAAGCTAAAGTAATAATGCTAGCTGTTAGTTGCTGAAATAGCATTTGTAGCTAAATGGAAATCACTTTATGGAACCTAGTTACCTTTGAATGAAAGCATAGCTGAATTTCAGCACTGGGATATCCACTAGAGAAGATTTCTGAAAATAAAACAAGGAATTACGTTCTTGCTTTACAACAAAGTGAAATTTAAGCTGTTAGAGGACTCAATGTTCCATGTGAGACTTGCTTTTTCCCCCCTGAGAGCAATCTGTCTCCCAGTCTGAGACTGATAGGCTGTGCCTTGTCTGTAGATATAGTACGTAGTTCAGAGCTTTTGCTAGGGAAGTCTGGAATAAAACAAGACGCATCCTTTCTCTCCACCAGACACATTCTTCCAAAGCTCTAGAAACACTTATAAATGAACCTCTCTGCATGATAACAAGGCTGGCTTAATTCAAAGCAAGCTTTGTTAAACAGCAGAATCACCACAGAAGCAACCTCACTAACTAGGATAATTGAAAGTCATTGTTATGCCAAACTGCTGTCATGAATCTGGGAAGTGAAGTTTTGTAAAAAGCTCTGAAAGCTACATTTCCTGGATAACCAGACCAGATGGCAAAGGTCTCTAAAAGTTCCACTTACAATTGTAACAGTCTTATTTAATAAAAAGGAAGGCCCTCAAAAAGTTTTACTAATGAAACTACTACTTAATGAGTTTTAAAACACTCACTAGGATTGGATTTTGTTTAAAGCATGTTTTTTGTTTGATAGGCAGGATGATTGTACCAATGTTAAGTATCTATTTCTGTTATGCTGAATTACAGACACATACACACAACTGTACCTTAAGACACACATATTTACTCTTTCTAGGCATTTATTTTATGCAAGTTACTCAATTTGAAGGGAAATATTGGTCCATCATAAAAACCTGAAGAATTTTGGTGTCTGTTTTGTAAATTCTGTTTCAAATGCTTGCTCCAATGTTTCAATGGCTTAAGAGTACTGGGACATAATTTAGGCCTCAAATTAAAGAGGACCAAACCTAATATGAAGAGAAATATTTTGATGTTTGTTAAGATTTCAATGAAAAAGTTAAATTTTATTCAGTGTTTGGAGCCTACACAGAGCAGCATTGTAGTACACAAGAACCAGAAAGTGAAGCTACTAACCAAAATACTTAGTTCTTATATTGCTCTTTTCTAGCTCTTTTCTTTCTCGAAATGCTTGGCACATGTTTGATAATCTTGAAGGGAAACTTAAAATTTAAATTATCCAAGCAGAGTGAAATGCAAGAAATACAATAGGATAAAAAGGAAAAAAAATATGTTAGATACTTAGAGTTATTTCATTTTTGATAATCTGAACTATGAATTTAAAATAGATGGAGCCAGATCCTTGTGACTTGCCCTTCTGTATCCCAGAATGGAGTGGGGGCCAAGGTGTTTTTTACACTGGAAAGGCCCTAGAGCAGCCTCAGGGCAGATGATAACCCCCCTACCCCAGGCTATTACAGCAGCTAGTGATCAGACAGACACAATGGGTCCCTGCCCGTGCCCCCTTTGCGGAGGGCAAGGGGGCTGAAACCACTATACTCGCCTGACGAAATCTGGAAATTCCTCTATGCTGGGAGAATGCACAAGAAGTCTGTTACACTGGCTTTACCTCAGCTTTGTGCTGCCAAAGTAACACAAAACAACCAACGACTACTCTTGTAAAATGAAAATCAGAAACTGTATACACATTGAGTACACTTTAACCAGGTACAGAATATGATGAGGAAACAAATTCTAATAATTACCAGTAACAAAAAAAGAATAATGAATGTTGAAAACCTCTTTCAGGTTAGCAGAGATTTTTTTTCAGGGACACCTTGGAAGAAGGAAGACAGTAAAGCTGAATATTATTTTAGCAGTTACCTCTTCGCCTTTGATTTGGGATGGTTTCTTGACAACTTCTTTTACCAGCTGTAATATAGTGTCAGTCTTCAGAGTGTTAAGTGCACACACTAAGTCCACAAGAATAAGCTGAGATGCACTAGCCACTGGAAGAATCTAAATGACACAAACATCATTAAGTTCAATGTACCAGGGAATGATGGAGGAAAACAGCATTTCACACTATTAACCGTGTGCAAACTTACATATGAAACTCAAATAGGTGAAAAGGATCCCGGAGGGGATCAGAGTTTGGGTCTCATTCACTCTCTCTCTGCCCTGCCCTGCCCTGACAGGCTGGGAGCACAATGAAGCAATGCATTCAGACTAAGGCGGATTAGGAAGAGGGCTTGTACTTAGTAACCATGTTTGGCTCCAGAGGGCGCTACCTCTCACTTTCCTCCTCTGGAAAGGTTTCTGACCTGGAGTCTTGGACAGCAATGGAGGAAAACTGGAATTGTCTGGGCTCCAACAACTCAAAATGGTTTGGTATTAAAGTGCCGGACTTGGCTTGGCACATAGTGCTTACTGATAATCGTTCTTTGCATCTATGCATGTAAGTGGAGCTTGGTATCCAAGAGCTTTTCCTTTGCAGTTGTTTCTAAAGCTGGTCAGAACATTTTCATCTAAATGTTTAGTCAAAACATGCTGTTTCAAAGCCAAAACATTTCATAGAGATTTATAGTTTCAATTACGTGTCTGCTGGAAAGGGTTTTGCGATTCCCGTGTGCTCTTTGTTCAAGTCTGACCAGAGAGAGAGAACGCATTGAAAAGTTGAGCTTTTCAATTTGAATACAGCTATTTTGACAATTCCATTTTGCAAAAGTGTTTTTGTTGCAGCGTGGAATGAAAACAAATTTTTAAACCTTGAAAGTAGTCACAAAAGAGAAAGGTCACTCTCTGGACAGATGTAGTTATTTAAATTTGGAATAAGGTTTTAAAATAGATTGTAATAATGTGCAGAATGAGAGTCTTGTTTTAGTTTGCATATAAATTAAAAAAATAGTATTTAATTAACTTTTCTATTTCCATTTCCAACACCAAATATTTGACCAATGTAAATAAGTTCTACTATTTTATAAAAAATAAAATTACTTTTTCCAGAAAAGTGGAAGCCAGTAAGATTTTTTTTGTCATGGGAAATTTATTGCAAGAAAGATAAATTCTTTATCCTACAATAAAAATGGTTTAAGGCATTTAATATTTAATTGTTTAAGATATTGAAAAAAACCCATATAACTCTGCAGATATAGAGTTAAATGTGTAAAAAATCATTGATTAATCTTCCTCAGGAGCAGGCTGGCTGGCGAGACAGACACCATGACTTCTTTTCCCCCCACAACGAAAAAGTCCTAAGGTCGTCACAGGTTGTGTTACAAAAGTCGTGCCCCAGACAAATGGTCTCTTCATTCTCTAAGTAAAATATTTTCTTCTTTCAGTATTTTTCTTCTTCAACATGCAAACACATTAAAATCTTTATTTTTCCTATTTTGATTATATTTGTTCCATTTACTTATAGTCTTCACATTTTAAATTTTAACCATTATATTGAATTCAAATTCTTATCTAATGGTTTGTCTTTGTCACTTGTACAACAAAAACAAAACAAAACCAAAAACAAAACATGAGGGTCTTCGCAGTAAACCTAGGAACAAAACCTCTGTCTTTTCATGAGAAAAGAAACGATCTTATGAATTAACATTTCTTTAACTTCACCTTTATTTTACTTTGATTCTTATGAGCTTTTTTGCTGTTCCACACTGCTGCTACTGCTGATATTAACTGGACTCCAAGTTGTGGCGTCAGTGGATTCAAGAAATCTAAAATTTTATTTTTTATCGTCTATAAAAAAAAAGATGAATATGTTATTGCTAAACATTGTCAAAAATGTTCAAGACTGATCTTCATTGTTTATTTGGAGATTCTTTGGCTTTTTAATGTGATATTCAGAAGTTATACTATCATTAAAGAACAGTACTGTATACTTTTGATTCAGGTTAATTTAGATGATTTCCCATGGGTTCATTCTCCTCCCTTATTAAAAAGGTGTGATTATCTCAAATCCTGGAAAGCTAACAACAAACATCTATTTTTCCATCATGCATATTCTCTGCCCAATCATTGTTCATACACAGTACTTCCTCATTATTATTATTAATCAATGTATGTAAAAGGAGTGGGGGGAGGAGGAAACTAGTAGTATATATAGAATATATATAGTATATATAGCATGACAAACATATACAATGTTCTGAAATTTATAGGCTGCAGAGAATGTTCCTGGCCAAAGGTGCAGAATCCCTATTCTAAAAGGGTTGTCACCTTTTGAGCAAGTCAGTTACAAAGTGCCAGATTTCCAAACCTAAATTGATGCCCCATTTGTATAAAATTAATTTGAGTAGAGAAATGGATGACAATTAGTAAAGGAGGACAAGATGAGGAAATTAGTGACGAAGGCAATATAAGAATTAATGGAAAAGTGAGTTTTCAAGGAGAGAAGAAAGGATTTGAAGGACATGAGAAGAGTGGTAGGGCCAGCTTGGCCGAGGAGCGAAAGGCTACTCCAAGAAGAAAGAGAATATACATTAGGAAACTAAGTACTATGTTTAGAGGACAACTGGAACACTAATTTTACATTTTCTCATTTGCTTCAATGGACTCTTTGCTGTCTCCTTCCTGTAAGAACCAAAAGGTTAAAGAGTATAAGAGCTCTTCAGTAAACCAGATTTTTGACTCAGATTCCCAATTCTTCTGACCTGAGTGGCTTATTGAAAGAAAAAATGATTCAATATTCTTTGTATAAATGTTATCAAGTTCAACAGCTAAGCAAAAATGAAGTAAAGAAAACAAAGGATTATACTGCAATCTAAACGAATGATCAACTACCACAATTGTCTAAAAATAAAACAGATCAATGAGTTAAGAAAAGTATTAATTTAATATTAACTCTGTTGGGGTATGTAAGGGTTAAGTAAAGACCTGGGTAACCGCTATCATGGTAATAGGGAGTAAGGCACAGGCAAGCACTATTTCTTCGCTTGATAGATAAAATTGCCATCCTTTTCCCTTCCCTTCTGCTTGTTAAGGATAGATAAGCG